AAACCCCATTTATAATTCCTAACTAAGGTAAATTAGGTAAATTATCGCGAACTGGATAATGAAAGCACCAGTAACACCGGCTGCAGCCAGGTACTGCGATATATACGGATGTTTGGATAGCGTACAGACTCCTGCACAGGCCTGGTTATGTGCATCATGTCTATATCCAAAAGTAACACTTTGTGCACTCAACAACCAGAGTGCACATAAAAAGTATTGAAGCTATCTGGTCGAGGCTGAAAGAGTTTTTGAGACTTTATCATGGCTCCAGAGGCCGAATATTCTGTAGCCGTATGGATGACTTCCTCTACCTCTGAACCTCTTTCTAACCTTGACAAGTTTTTGAACCACGTATAAGAAGTGTATCTACTTTATTTCTTTGGTTTTGTATAACATCTTTTTACTCTATACAGACTGTTTGCTGATTGGTTAATATTTTTCAGTCACTAAGGTTCGTTCAAAGGCCGTCCATAAATTAGAGTCTCGCCTCTACACCTACTTCAGTCTTCAGTAGTAAGGATAGAAGGTAAACCCATTCATGTCAATCCCTATGACTTGTAGCACTGTGAAGATCCAATCCCGCTTTCTATTAACAAAACGTGCTGATATCACATGTTCTAGTAATTCACTACTTGATGTGAGAAACGCCACTCTGGATGTAAACGATTTGACCTCGGTTTTTGAACTTTCTTCACTGTCCTCTCAGACGATCAGCCCTGGATGGAAGGAAAAGATGAGACATATTAATACCAAGAGTATACGATGAGCCAGTATTAAATCACACCATAACCTGTGGTAAGATAACGGAAATAGGTTCAGGCGTCTCAGTCTGTCTTCATAAGATAGGTCGGCGAGGCCTTTCACTATTCTGACCCCTTGACGTTGAACTCGATCCAGAGTATCCGTCATCTCCAAAGGGTAAGACAGATGACTTTGGCACAGTTGGTAAGTCGTTTACATACCGTAAAAAAAGCTGAGGATTATACGTTGGGTAACTTCACTTCTTAATGATTCCTATGTTGATGAAGCCCTATTTACCCGTACCTGTTGTCTCTCATCATTGAGAAAGTCGCTTATCCATTCCAGTCGGTTCGTAACAGATCACAAGACTTTTTAATTTAAGACCTGTATGAGGGGCCTTGTCAAAGACTTTACCTAGACCTGTGAATATTAAATCTGCCGGAATATATGCAATCCAATCTTGAAAAGCCTTTCCTAAAACTACGTTTTCCGACTAGATTATTCTCTTCCACATATTTAGAACAACCATCCAACTTATGTATTCCATTATTTTGACTATACTGGCTAGACTAACGGGTCGATAATTACTAACTAAATCTCTTCTGTGCTTTGTAAACCCGACAGGTAATTGTGTTTTTTGTTAGTGGAGAAGGTTCGTAGCTCAGGTGGAGGTATGAGGGCGGTTATCACTTTCCGGCTGCCCACACTGTGGAACGGTTTTTCTGAAGGTGCCTGAAAAGGAAATTGGATTAGAGGTGGTCTTAGTGACCTGGGAGCGTGACCGCAGTGCCCAAGGGACAACTGCTTAAGGTCGGTTACACACGACCTTTTTGTGGGTAACTTTTGTGTTAGCTCCGTACTTGTTGAGACATTACCGCCGGAGACGGATATCCGTGGGATAATGCGAGGTGTGCACTCTTAGGGTCGACCTTTTCTAACCCCACCCCTTCTTGTGGGAAAGCAGCATCGCTGTCATGCTGGTTGTCTGAAGGAAACACCCTACTGCTGTCACACCTCTGTACAGTCAGCAGTACGACTTCGCCTACGGACCTTGGGTTTGTTGCTTTTAGCCTTCAACCGACCTGTCTGACATGGTAGGACCTTGAGGAACGGTTGTTCCAGCCAGTGTAGCTCGAATGGTTCGTTACGATAGGCAAGCCCGACCACCACGTCAAGGTAGCAACAACGGTCGGATGAGTTTCGGCAAGGCTTTCATAATCATAGGTAGTTGTATCCTGATAATTCTGGAGTAACGTCAAAGTCATACACTAACGAAGTTTCGATCACCGCTATAATAAGTGACTTTAATTCTCCCACTAGTGGTCCTAGTTCATAAAATTTATTTCTAAGACTACGAGCATTTGTATATAAGACTCCTGAAGTGAACGCCCTGTCCGTACAAGCCCTGGTAGCATTCGCTTCCAAGACCTGACTATTCGAAAACCCACTAGGCGCAGATGTTTTTCACTATTCTCTCCGACGGATCCCTAGTCCAGGGATTCCTGCCTATATTCTATCTTCTAGAGAAATGTCAGGTCCTACTCGAACGTCGGTATTATCTTGACTTCAAGCACTAGTTAACAAAAGTCTTCCTTATTTCTTCAACCGTAAGTCTTCCCTAAGGAGTTGACATGTTCGGAGTTCAACATTTGCTTCAGTTCACCTACCTATTCTTACCAGTCTTTTGGCCTGAACTCCTGTAGAATCATCTGGTGAAATGCTACTAATATATATACTGACCCTTTTCAAATTATGCGCATGCCTTAGCTTTTTTATGAAGTGCTTTCATATATGCATGCTGTCACTGTATGGTTCATGTTGATTTATCGCTGCTCAGAATACTAAGTAACCATGAACTGGTGTATATAGTCCTTTAGACTTGGGGAAATATACATCCACCTTTTGTTAGTTTGCTACTCCATTGGTGTTAACAACACTTCATTGCCCCCTGAATTGTTATTTCTAAACTCACTAGTTGTAGATCACAAATGTTCATCAGTTCATAGCAACACAAAAAAATAAAATGTACATGGTGGGTACGAAAGAAAATCTAAAACAAACATGTTGAGCGTGTACTTAAAAACCGGTCTGCACGAATGCATAGCTTGACAACCGCCAATGATCTTGAAGTGCTCATTGAATACTTCACTTATCTTGAGTGTCATCTCTGCTTGTGGGTTTATGCCAGAAGAAATCTTGATGCGGATTAAAAAAACTCTGCTAATGTTTAATAATCAGTGTTAATGGTATTGCAGCCAGGATACCTGTTTGTTCAATTAGTTCATTCCTGTTGGCCGAACTAAACACTGGTATATATCAGTTCTGATGCAATATTTTGTATTTTGAAGGATAAAAACGCATCCCAAACACTTAAATGGTTACTCAAAACATTTGAAAACTGCACTTTCTCAAGCTTTTTACTAGACGAAGCTAGTTCATCTGTGTATTCTAAGTTGGTTTCCAGGTAAGGGATCGGTTCCAGGAGATCAGTCATATGTAACCTAGATCCTGGGACATGTGCATCGGCTGAAGTAATCATGCCACTTAAGCACAGCGAGATAAAATTGCCAAGCAAAATCCTAGAGTAGTAGAGGTTGTAACACTATCAGTAGTAGCATGAAAGGTTAGACAAAGACAATATGATTCGAGAGAAGGGATTTGAACACTAAAAACTGCAAGACTTTGTTGAAACGCAGGGCCTAGGGAAAGAGAGTGAACGCATGTACGCATCAGTGGCTTTGTAGTATTTAGTACTATTTCAAGTCCACGTAGATTGTTTCAGCTTTTGGACATTATATACTCATATACCTTGTCAGTTGTTTAGTTGTAACCTTGACTGCCTTTATATGAGCGTATCTGTTCGTGTTTTTCTTATCACATACTCTGTTTGTCACATGTCTTCAGTTTTTTCTAACTATAAATGTTGAGTCATGCTCGATCAAATCGAATAGGCTGAGAATCCTTTCTCCATGTTGCACTTACCGTCTGTCTGCGTAAATAAAACAAATTCTTATTGAATTTGTATTTAGCTTTTAACACATCCGTTGCCCAACAGGGTTAACCTAAGTATGGTATACAATAATAAATATTTATATTTCGTGGTTCATTCATTGTAATTCATAATAAAGTCAGAGCGCTAACAACCTATTCTAAGTCATGTCACTTAACGTTTCCAATCTTTGGTTACGATAATCGCGCGGAGTCCAAACTATCTGTACGCAAAAACTTAACTCCGTCCAACCATCAGTGTTTTTATGATCTAGTGCCACGTTTTGTTTAAGTTGCCTCCAACCTTGTTTCAACTGACTCCTACATCAGCAAACGTTCTTCGTCGAGGTAGGCATTGGTTTAACACACGAATGCTACCTCAACGAAGCCAATCTCATCCACCGATTAGATATCCTTACCTAGTACCCTCTAAATTCCTAATTACGTGGTCCCAACAAACATGAACAGCGCTTCAGAGGTACTTATGATCAAATACTAGTAACATGAGTATCTATTTTTAAAGGATATGTTTCAAAACAAAAAAGTGGAACGGCGGGTACTGCTGTTTAGCAAACTCGGCCTTTAGTTGGCTGACGGTAATAATGCCTACTCACGTTGGCGGGAGTCAACTTAAGTTTTTGAATTTTACCGTGATTCCATCAAATACCGATCATACAGGGGTGACAGGACTTCTCAGATAATTGAAGTGGTCTAAGAATGCAACTACTTCTCTGTCATTAGTTAGGGTTTTGTTACATTTTATCTGAATAACTGTTCTGGCCTTGTGGGATATTATTAACCCTAACCCATTGGGTGTTACAGGTCTGTGCTTTTCCCCCGATCCATACAATCAGTGTCAGGGCTAGTAAAACTACCAGGTTGCAAAGTTCGGACCTGTGCCTTAGTGACTAAAAGTCAATCATGTATACCATTGAACCACCGTCCTGAAAGTGTTCATCAGTATACTAAGCTACCTGTATCATTGCACTTTAAATACATACAATTGGTGCTTCCTAGGAAAAGTAGATTTTATTTGGTTTATTTACGCATTCAGTGACCTCGTTCGTGCTGTTATTCAATAACTCTCCTCTTGTTTCATCATATGATTTTTGTGTATTCCAATGGTTTCTTACTGGCGATTTTTGAATTACACATAAGCAAATAAAATCCACGCTTGATTACCTCTTAAATCACTAATCGACGAATTCCGTCTTTCAGATAATTTTGTCATAATTTTCAATACTAAATCTTATTTTTCAGATTTTGGAAGTATGACTGGTTCACTTCAAAAAAAGTTAAATACACACTGGGCGAGGTCTGTTCCTGATAAACGACTTGCAATTCAGTTACTTCGAGTCACTCCATTTATTTTTACGGCAAGTCGATCAACTATGGGTAGCCTTCTTCGCTGTGACGTAGAGGAGCCTTTCGCTGTACTGTCTACATCTAATCAAGTAAGAAGTTTGCTCTAACTTGACGTTCATAGTATCCTAGGATCTATGATGGTAACTTATGGATTAGCGCGAAATTCATGTCCTATGTACGCGACCCTTTACCGAAGTGCAGGTATATCTACAATATTTGCTTTTCTGCTAGCACGGGTTTAGTCGCCGTATACGCGTTATCGAAACATGCTTTTGGTTAATTAGAATTTTGAGCTACTCTGTTCAGTACCTTGAAGAGAAGGTTTTTTCATTACTCATTAATATGTTCATCTTTCAGAAGGAGCACTTTGCTTTTATTGAATCTTTTTCAATTATCCAGGAATTTCATACCAATGCAACAGTTTTCTCTCAGATGATTGGAGTGTGAGTTTTTTACTGAACTATTAACTTGGATTTATAAACGAGTGACCGTATCATGTTTATATTCCTGTTATGCAGAAGCAAGGCAGATGGATAGCAGATTGTTTACTACTTTAATTCCATGAGTTCCTGTTCCATTAAGCCTTCCGCTTTATACATTTCTGATAACGAAAGCTCACCAACCGATCAACCGATAGGTCTAAGGTCCGAACCCTGCGTCACCTTCAGTTCGTTCAACCATGTAATATCTCTAACCCTCACACTAAAATTGAGTGACTCAAAGCCGAATACATCAGTCTGTACTTGGTAAACTCGTTACAATCATAATATGGTGTTAGTGATTTCTTGTCTCTCTAGTAAATCCCCTCAGGCCTAACAAGCTGGTAGCCGTAGGTCGTTTTTGAGTTGACTTTTAATTAGTCAGCAATATTCTATTTTAAGTATTGGGTTACAGAGATTGTTAAGTTTCATTAAAGTCGTGAACCAACCAGTGTTAGATCACCATTAAAAACCTGGAAGCACTGGGATCTAACAACAGTGGGAGACAGTCGCCCAATATGGATGCCGGCTCAGTAGTCTAGAGGTTAGGCGTTTGAGCGCGAGATCGAAGGTCTTGAGTTCGATTGCTGCGTGGGGGGTCGTAGATGCGTACTGCTGAGGTGTCCTATACTGGGACGAAACGACCGTCTAGTACTCCCAGGTTTTTAATGGTTTTCTAACATTGATCGGCTCATGATTTCAGTGAATATTTAATTTTGTTTTGCGCTCTATAGATCGAACAGTTCGATTTGGTTTTGTGTTATTGAACTATCAAAATTTATTTCTTTAAAGTGTTAAACGATGTATCTGATATGTTCCTGTTTTATAGTCAGTCGTTTTTACAGTAATCACGAGACACTTAGTTTTTAGATGTATCATACTATTTTCTGAGAGTAAAACTTTCATTTTATTTTGACTCCATTGAATGTCTGTGTACTAATTATTTTAGGACTGAAGCTATCGGCGACACGAATAAAAACCTTATTCTTCCACGGTAAGTTTCTATGTATCGTTATATTTACCTTCCTCTTAGTTTACCAGTGCGGAAAAAAGCCATATCCAAAAAGAAACGTGTTGGTGTTAATAAAAATAAATGGTATGAACTATATTTAATTGGTTTCTGATGATAAATTTTTTCTGTCAATGAAAATTTGACTTTCATTTCCGTTAGTGGTTTGCCTAAAATGAATGAATCATACACCGAAATTATGTATTGAGATAGTTAAGGCGTGTTATATGTATACAGAGCAATTGATTAGCTATATCAACTGAAAACACTAAATGCAGCTTCGCCCAATGGAGTTTTACTTGCAGTATGTTTCATGAGTCGTGGGTTACGCACTATTTTTGACATACTCATTTCTACTGAAATTATAGCTTGTTTTTGCTCTGGAATGATTTAAACCCAAACATAAAATGTATGTCACGGATAACTCCCATCAACCTTATCCTTAAGCATTAGTAACAGTCGATTGTTGGGAGCTACATTTGTGTCAGATAAAGTCAAATTGTGAGTCGTACACACAACTCATCACGTGCCACCAGCAAAACTTCCTGTTACGTTCAAAAAATTAAATTGTTTACAAAACGCGTCGTTAAACAAGCCACTCAAACTTTGATGATGCACCAATAAGAAATACCCTCTAATGAAACCTGTACGGTTGAATCCTTGGTATGCACTGCACGAATAAATCCTACGAGCAAATATTTTAGGAAGCGGTTATTTTCATGAGTTGTCAGTACTGTGTGCCTTTATACTAAAACCTGTTACAACATCGTTCGTCTCACTAACGAGCTCTAACAATTTCGTATTGCGGAAACAGTATTAACTACTGATTATGTCACCTGAACGGAAGTTTTTTTGATTGAATTGTTGTCTCTACTATGCTCGTAAACGAATGTTTTAAATCAACTGGATTCATTTATCGTCTTAAGCAGCTATGGCCAATTCTCAGTCGAGTCAACTAAGAATACCATTTGCTGTGTTCATTTTGTTTTATAATTTATGTTATTGCCCTAATTCTTGATTTTATTGTCAGTGACTTTCTCGAACCATGCTCTAATATACCTCCGACATCAGATCCTCCCCAACAATACTCTCCTTTAAAACGTCGTTTATTGTTGATAGCTTGCCTGGTGTTTTCGCTGTTGACAAACCAACAAATTATGTGGTCACAAATTCCTCAACAGTTATTGAAAATAAAGAAGTGGGTTTTTATACAAGGTCTTTTTCACACTCAAATGTGATTTTCCATCTTGATGTTTATAGTTTTATCTCATATGGTGTCTAACAGTGTATTGGTGATTACTTTAGCAGCATTATGAAAACTATCCATTCACTTGGTTTCCCTGTACGAATGTAAACAAAGAAAAATACAAATTTTACTAAATGGTCCAAATTAATCGTATTTTGTTTCTTCTCAGTTACACTTGAGATAATTTAGGCTAATCATTAAAACAATTTACATAGATAACTCACTAGCAAATAACGTGAATAGACAAAATAAAGAATGTTATAAACAGACTTTTTAAGTACTCTTGTACTAGATCGATATGATTATTTTTGCTGCATATTACAATGTATAATATAAATTTCAATTTTTTTAAACTGAACTATTAAATTATTACAATCTATCTTCACAAGAAACCCTTCTGGTAATAATCATCATGTGCTCACTAGTGACTGGCTTCAAGAGGTATTTTTTTGAATTATTATTTCTCAACTTCATCTTTCTTAACGATATAAAGAGCTGTTAAAGTTGATTTAGATTGGAACAACATATTGTTTTCGATTAGATCCTCATCAGGCTTTACCCTAATATACAGAATATTTCTATGCATATAGGAAAATTATTAAACCAATCAAGGCTACATTTTTCATCACCTGATTCACATCGGATACGAAGCTGACTTAAATACACTTTCAAGTTTATCGTATCCCATTTAATGTGCTGTAAACAACCGAAAACATTGGGTTACATCTGCAGAAACTAACAATATGTATTGAAGAGAAATCTATTGTACTAACCTCATTACCTTGCTACTCAATACGACTTAATCCGATACAAACTACCCTAAGTTGCCAATGTAATATTCTTCAACTTCTTTTTTCTCTTCTGAATCGAACTTCTTGGGTTTTGTTCCTCACATAATCATTACTAATATTCATCTTTTATTTCTTACGTAACTGCAGGCTGCTGCTTCAGGACTGGTCTGCGTCAACACCTAAACTAAGGATAGGGAGTGAAGTAGTCGAATGCGTCGACAACTTCACTTATCTTGGAAGTCTGATCAGCCCTAATGGGTTAGTGTCTGACGAAATCTCAGCACGGATTCGAAAAGCTCGTTTGGCTTTTGCCAACTTACGTCACCTATGGCGAAGGCGAGATATCCGTCTATCAATAAAAGGACGAGTATACTGCGCGGCAGTCCGTTCTGTTCTAATTCACGGCAGCGAAACATGGCCATTAGGAGTAGAAGATACTCGTAAGCTACTAGTATTTGACCACAGATGCCTTAGAAATATTGCTGGCATCTGCTGGGATCACCTGGTAAGTAATAGTGAGGTTAGACGCAGGGTATTTGGGAATGATGGTAAATCATTTGATGAGGCTGTGAATCTTCATCGACTGAGATGGTTGGGAGCACGTGTTATGTATGGCTGAACACCGATTACCACGACGTGCAATGCTAACTGGTGTTGGATATGGTTGTAAGAAAGTTAGGGGCGGCCAAATCAAAACGTGTCATCAGTGCTTGAAGTCACTAACTTCTAGTCTGAGCCATGTTGGTAGATGCAGACTACCTGGTTGTGGTCCGCGTGACTTTCGTAACCAATGGTTGGAGACTCTTGGTGACATGGCTCAGAATCGATCACAATGGCGTCGGTGTATATACTCTCTGTCTTCCCTTTAACTAAGAGATTAAAATCGCTTCATATCTTTCTTTCTATGAACTAATTCTTTCTTCCTGTACTATATCCTCATTGCAATTTTCTTTTATATATTACCACCTCTGAATTAACTACTTTTATGAATCCGGTGTCCATCTTGTTGTGTTAATGAGGTATGGCAACTTGGACCGATGCATATATGTGCATTGTAGCTGACTGACTGGCTACGTAACTGTTATTAATATTCAACCTTATAAAAATTTCGTGAATTTTGCTGGTCATTATACAACTGGTCGGTTTTGTAACTACATGTTTCGGTTCATTCATTAAGTAATAGTCTTGGATATTATAAGTACTGTTATAGATGAAGATTTCTGTTATTTGATCAGTCGAAGTGCTGAATGTTAAAATCGATTACTAGAATAATAATCAATAGATGAAGTCAACAATATAATTCGACTGAAGGAATAGCTACTCACGAGACCGTTTAATTGAGTTACACTCCCGAATGATTGGAAATCAAAGACAAAACCACTAGGCAGATGAATAGTTTTTCATGTAATAAAATAACATGCTTATACACAGTATGAACGAAAAATAATCGTGATAAAATGTTATAAGTGATTGGGGTAAATCAATTTGTAGGTCACTCATTATTTAATCAGTGAAGAGCTGTTTGTTGCTTCTAATCTTTGGGCATCGTATCAACCCCCTATTCTTGCTCTAGTCATTCATCATTGTCTTCATAAGGTTTTCTGATTTATAATTTTGTAATTTGTTCTATGACATATTAATGTGCAACCGTGTTGAAAAGCTAGTTAGAAACAAGTCCCCTTTTTGTTTTCAAATGTCTGAATTGAAACTCTTATTTTATTTTTTATTCAAACAGAATATCCCAATCACAGAAGCTTCAATGTTGCATTCAACCTCACCCTTTTCAAAAGACTCATCGCTTTTCAAGGATCTCTTCGATAGCAACGATGGTAAGAAATTGCTGACATTTGTTTATATCTAATACGATGATTACTTGAATTTCCACATTTATTTGTGGAAAGGTAGTTTTTCAATAGTACTTTCGATTGACTGCATCATGCAGTTATGAAAAAGTCACGTGTTTTATATTTCAGTATTTGTGTGGACAAATAGTGCAGATGTAGGGGCACAACTATGTTGTACGGACGCCCTTAAGCAACTAATTAAAATCAAGATTGTCGATGTTAAATATTAGCGCGAATTTAAAACTCATTATGGATAACTTGTTGGTAGATATCATATTTTCGACTGGATTTTGTATTTTATGGGTATTGCTCTTCTTTTGGGATGAACAGTGCGATTCAAGATGTGTTAATGTTAGAACGGTAGGGATAATAAGTAAAAATAAGGTTGAATTATACCTGCGAACAACCTTCAAGTCCCAGCACTTATAGCCAGTCAGGCGATGCCGATGATGAACGATTTACGTATTGTGCTAAAAATTAGGATGTAGAGCTTGATTTTAGGACTTGCATCATAACTGACGTCAGTTCGTGCTAAGAACCCTAACTCTTTCACAAAATTTATATTCTTATTGGCTAGCATCTGATTTGTTGGTTTTTGGGTTATTCGTTAAACCTCTTAAAGCCATTCCTATAGTATAGCTTTACCAGGCGAAGATGTGTGACTTCAGTAACTTCCATTCAAATTAGGCACGATCGTTATTTCCCATTTTTCTGTTATTCACGAAATACATCATCTAATTTTCATTTTGTTACGCTTATGTGTAAAATATTTGGACAATGATCCAGTTAAACGACAGAGAAAAAGTTACATCAAAAATGACATTTTTTGCACTCAATATTATTCTCTCCAAACTGTTTGCTGTTGATCAGACAATCTATTTTAGGTTCGCCCATTATATTTTACCATTAAAGCTGTTCGATCTTAGGGAAATAATGATTTACAATTAATCCTAAGTTGACATAATAGGTTTGATAGCAAGGGGTTGTGTTAACTGATACAAATCAGAACACTTATGTGACCCTTGTTCAGGTCATTATAGTCATATCTATTGCTTATGTTGTATACAACTTCTTGTAACCTCTCATCTATGTACATTTTTTATGTGTAGTTGTCTATCTTCGTTCGTTGATTTTACCCTTCGTCCATTTGAAAAGTGACTGAGGCACAAAATCATATAACGAATTAGCTGGTATTGTCAATTCCAACACTGAATTTACGCGATTATTCTGTTTGCTTGCCTGAAATACAATCTTCCCATCATGTTGAATTTATAGCTTTTAATATCGCTGTTATCCAAATAGGGTTAATCGAATTATATGCAAAATACAAACTTTAGAGATAAGTAAATTATAGTCAGATATAAATACAAAGTTAATGAACGCTCATTTAAAATGAGAAATATCTTAGTTTCCCTTTTAGATTGAATATATGTTAAAAATAGTTAATATGAATTGTGTAGTGTAGATCTAAACTTCTGTATTTTTTCCGCTGCAAAGCTCTCCTTATGAGTCACCCTTTATTTTTATTACGTTTGGAGACATTATCTTATTCGTACGTGTCCTTGTTATATCTTAAATCTTTTTTGAAAATAAACAACAGGTTAACAGGGTGGACATCATTAGTCCATATTGTAATTGACTGTTAATTTAAACTGTTTACGGGAAGTATAAACTTTCTAGTTGCGTGCCTCACGATAATTGTAACCTGTGGTTTGTGATCTTGAATATTTTGGCTCAGTATCATATACGCTGTGATAGATTCATTTCATCTTTATTTACCTCTAAATCTTGAAGTGTGATACTATATCATACTTTTCGTTCTCTGATCTTATTTAAGTTTTTGGTTAGCTAATTATTGCAGTGGAGCGAATATTGGGAGATTTTTAACTTTTGCAACATTTTTACGGAGAACTCTTATTTGTTTCTTTATTGAATAATGACTAGTTAATTAGATTGTTGGGTTTTTATATTCCCTGCATTGTAGCTTTCGCTCGGACTCATTAACTATTGTTATACGTTTTCTGTTCCCAACTTATTGTTCAACTTTTCATCGTTTTTTTAAAAACAGTTATGATATAGTCGTCTATAAACTATGATTTCTTATATGGGGTGTGGTGTAATCTGTGAATTAATGTATATAATTTTATGACTGTTTAAGTTATGGTAACTGGAAGAATGGATTACTGGACGATTGAGCAATGATAGAAGGTTTACTTGCTCGTCGTGTTCTGGTGCCCGACTTAATGAGGGAATAGAAGGGTATGGGTTCTGGACCAATAGGAATTAAAGATATCCCGATCATATCTTGAAGTTAGTTGTTAATAGTAAAAACAAAACATCAGTTTATAAACTAGAAAGTATACTCGGGATTGAGAATTATCAACTTGATTCTGAATAATGACTTTTTTTCTAGTGATTGATTAAGGTGTGAATACGTAAATTCAACAATTCTAACACTACTGGCTATGTTCTGAGATTTACACGTTACTTTCAGCATTTATTTGAATGGTCACTCTGAATATTTGTCAATCACCAGTCACGATACGAGTATTTTACCACAATTACGTAGAGTAAAATAAATCTGCTAGTTGAATTTTTCATGTTATTACAGATTACTCTATTGAACTTACAAATCTCTCCAATAATTTTATGACTAGTGAAATATTAACGCCTTCTGCTAAGTTATCTCCAAACAATAATACAAATATAATCACTTCCGCAGTAGCACATTCTCAGGTAAGTCCCAATTTCATAAAATATCGTTGCTGTTCAAAATGTTATCTGTTTATTTCTATCTTATTTATTTTATTATACAATATATAGGTTGTTATACTTTTACGTTTTGTCCTGATTATTTTTTGATGTGTCTGTACAAATCGTGCTACTTTACTATGCTGTCAAGAAATATTTGATAAGTATATAATCCATCCAAGGATTCTAACTCAACGACTGATTGACCTATATAATTCAGAATACAGCAAACTTCATTAGTAATGATATCGTTCAGAGTAAACAAAGTTCCGAAGAGTAGCGACGGAGAGATTATGAAAAGCTTTTACAACTGCGGAAACAAACTGACAGACCTTAGTTAGAATGACTTGGGACTGAAATGCGTTAGATATCAGAACTTACAAACTTTCGAAATAGATTAGCATAACTCTGATTTAAACTAAATATTTCAATGAGGAGAAGTTTCTTTTTGTGTTTTCACTTCCAAAAACTATTCATTCCGTTTTATATGAGATGAACAGTGTTATTAACAATTTTTGCGTGTTGATTTGTGAAACTGCAGTGTATCGGCATAAAATGTTTTCTTCATTTATCTGACCGTGCGAATCCTTAAGATTTCGTCCTGAATATCACTGTCGAGTTGCAGATCAATATGTGTATTATTCAGTGCGTTCATATCTTTGGTAGGATTTTGGGTAGAGTACCGTTTGTAACTCTCATACAACAATTCTTACTCGAATTATTGTTGTACTGGAATCTAAATTAGCTTGTCACATTGCATAAATTTCTGGTAGTAGGAATCCTTTGCTTAGAGAAGTTAACGCAAATTTTAGTGCTAGTCATTAATAACTTCCATTATTCAGAATGAGACATAATTTAAAAGAAAATCTCGGTTTCCTGAAAGAAGACATAAAAATCAAATCAATTATATAGGATTCTCTGTATATGTCTGTCATTATAGTTAGCCTAAATACTATTTTCATTACCTGTGTTTGCAAGATACTTCATGTGTTATTTAGAGGTTGCTTAACTTTCCATAAGGCTTTCAAATATGTTATTCATAGAAACTATGGAAATTTATAACTGGCAAAGTTGCAATTTGTATAAGCAATATTTTCTAACATGATTTGAACTACACTCCCGTTCACTCTACTTACCACTAGCCTTCATATTTTTCTGTCGAAATATGTAGTAAGAGCTTAGATTGCTATATTTTTTTATTGAGTCGTACATTTGGATTTTCTGATACAATTTTAAGCTTCTTTTATTCCGAACTTTTAAGCAGGCGTCAGTTTCCGAGTCTCAAGATAATAAATCATATTCACCCAGTACTCAGTATTTTTCTGTTCAGAATGGTAAGTCATTTATTTAATTATTGATGTTATAGTTTTTAAATATCCATTACATTTGACTTATAAGTAGAATATCTTTGCTTCTTTTTTGACTACAACCAATAAGTCTACGGCTCTTTGTACAGTTCTGGTCAGGAGTCTTCATTATTATTATTATTATTTATTTTAACACATAGATATTGTTACAAGGAGGCGCCAAATACATATGCGCCACACAGATTTCATTTGATATGTGTGAGGGCTGTGATACTGTCCGGGTGCCCAAACCGAAGCAGGTGGTTTTCTTAGGGGACCACACCCGGAACCTCCAACCTGAACGTCTGATCCACAAGGCAGTGGGACAACTTAAGGAGATGCATTCTCATGGCAGCCAGTGACCAACGATTGGTTCATACTACATTTTTCCTTCAGGATACTGGAACCCATGTGCACCATTGGTTTGGAATCAGGGTTTTCCAACTCCCCTAGGTGGGCTCTCCATGTCCACCAACGCGGTTAAAGCGCCGGACATCCGCTTGTCGTCCTCTCAATTTCGTAAACAACACTCCCGCTACAAGAAGGCAGTGAGTAGGACTTCCATGGCAAAGGCTATATATGCGTGGCCATGTGAGAGCATTTCGAGAGAGGGAGCGGACTGTCCCCACTCTCGGCCGTACCAGGGCATTTGAGGGTCAATGATTGACGTCTCCTCACTTCGATTGAATGCCAACAGAAAAATCTCACAGAAGGGGAAGTGAGTTTAGACGTTTCATATTTTGAAAGCTAGATGAAATCGCATGTCTGAAGAGTACGCGGTAGGTGATAAATCACAAATGAGGCACGCTATTAGGAAAAGTGGTTTATATACCCTAATCAACGTTTTAGCTTTCTTGTCGTTGTATGTTTCAGTCAGGACCAGCATATAAACACCTATAACTTGTGTTCATTGTTATAGAATTTTAAATTCAAGCTTTTTAGCCAATTACCAAAAATCGTTTCAAGTCATTTGAAAAAAACTAATCGTAAAGACAACAATTTTACTACAGGTCAGATCTTAGTGATATTCTCTTTTAACTAAGCAAAGTTTCTGTAAGTGGTATGCAGTCTACATACACATGCACACATCTACAATTACATTTCTCTTGAAATTCGAATTTAGGGTCTCTCAGATAGTAATTATAAAATTTTGTTTCTATACTATTATTATTATTATTATATCAGCAAGCGATTTCTCAAATCTGAAAACTTCAACTTCTTCAGTTACGGAAATTAACTCAGATGGACAGGTTAGTGTTTGCTGTTAACATATGAGCTAATAATTATAAGAATGCCTTATATTCATTTGTCCCTTGTTTGGTAGGTAACGTTAATAAAAATGAGAGAATTAACCCGAAATTCCATGTTTTTTCAAGGTTGTTTCTTTTAAAATCATTTCTTCATATTTATTTATATTAAACACTAAAACACCTGGAATCTATTTAGCAATTTTACTTAAGATGTTTCGTGAATGGTTAAAATTGCTGTCAATTTCCTATGTATATAGTTATGATTAACCGTTGTTAATACTATGGTATCTACTCTTTACTTGTATAGTAAATTACTTGTAGAATCGTTGTATGTACTATCAACGGATTGTTCTATCATGAAATATAGTTGTGGTTGTCAGAGTTTCTTCTTTAGACATTATGCTTTGACATTTTGGGTGAACTATCAGTTTTTGTGGTTGTCTGTCTTTAGTGAATTTGTCCACCCCTTTTTTTAGAAGGTATTATAGTTTTTAATTGATGGATTTACTATTGAAACGTGAAACTGTCTTTAAAAGTCACAGGTGATAATGAACATTGAAAATTGAAGTGTAGTATGCATTTGTTTCACTCGAGATGCTTCATTATTGTGTTTAACATATGATTCTATTTTATTTCTCCCATTTTATTCCAGATAACCGACCCACTGCTTGAATCAACCTGTGGGTTGTGCAATAAAACTGATTTAACAAGTCACTCCGTTGTTTCTAATACTGACGAACAAAATATGAATGGTAAATAGATCTAATATTTCTACTGTTTCGTATTATTTTATCCTTCGAAGTTTTGAGTACGCTTTATTGTATGGGTATTTCTTCTTAATATCTATTAACTGTTTGTGTCTGTTGACCGTTGTAAAGATTTTTCATGAGTTTATGAATCATTTTCTGTCAAGGTGTTTGGAATATGTCTTGCAGGATCCTAATCCTGTACTCACCCTGGATGGTGGGCAGATAGAAGTAGTCGAGAAGTTCATGTATTTAGGTAGTTGCATAAAGTGCTGGTGGTGGCGTGAGTGATGAGATCGATACAATTATAGTGAAAGCCAAAGCGGCTTATACCAATCTGGGTCATCTTTGGCCCCTTCGTAAAAGGTCGTATCTACAACGCGTCGGTGAGAGCAGTTTTGCTCTATGCTTGTGAAACCTGGCCTCTCCGAGTTGAGGATGTTAGACGACTCTCTGTGTTTCATCATCGTTGTCTCTGAAGGATTGCTGACATCCAGTGGCAACACCATGTTAGTAATGCAGAGGTTCAGCATCGTGTGTTCGGGCACAGCGACGATAACCCAATTGGTGTCATCATCTTGAAACACCGACTTCGGTGGCTTGGACATGTTCTATGAATGTCGTCCCAGAGAATTCCACTTCGTGCATTATTTGCCGGTGCTGGGACTGGTCGGAAAAAGTGGAGAGGTGGTCAGTGTATGACATAGTGTCGGGGTATGAAAAAAATCTGCAAAGGGCTGGCTTGTGTTGGTCCTTCACGACTCCCTGGTTGGGGTCCGAGAGATAGTGCAACACAGTGGCTAGAGACGTTACAAGATATGGCTTAGAATAGAAGCCAGTGGCGATCCTGCTGTAACCTTCTTTTACTTTCTTCATAAAAAAGAGGTTGCATCTTCCTTAGCTGAAGGATTTCTTCTGGTTATACGTTTCCGTCTCCCCCATTATTATTATTACACTACCTTACACTAATCTGGTCGTTATTGTTCTTCTTTTTTTCTTCCCATTCTCATTGTTTTGTGTGGCGCATATATATTTGGTGCCCCCTTGTACCAATATTTATATGTTCAAATGAATAAATAATGTCTGGCAGCCACTTCCCACTCCCAACGTGGTAGTTTGTTTTGAGGAGGGTAAGTAGCTGTTGGACTTAGGGGTTTCATCCATTCATGATGTCATAGTCTTTGGAGTTGATTTATGTAAGCGGCTGCGAACCTTTTATTTGTCGCTTGCTAGACAATCGTATTCAATGGTTGGTATCATTAGCTTTCACACTGCACGTATGGTTCAAAAATCTTAGTATATAAACACATATTTATTTCAATAGTTGAGATCATGAGTCAATTGAAGCTAGACCACCATGGAACGCCTGGAAGCACTGGACGGCTGTTTCGTTCCATTGTGGGAATCCGCAGCAGTGCGCATCCACGACCTCGCCTCACGAGATTCGAACCAGGACCTATCAGTCTCGCACGCGAGCGCTTAACCAATAGACCACTGAGCCATAAATATTTATTTGTCAAGTCACACTAATGATACTATGTTTTATTTTCAGGTCAAAGTGTTGATGTAACATAAACGCAACATCGACGACCCTTCATAAGGATCCGTCTATTGTTAATTGTGTACGGGACTCAGTTGTTCAGGTTAGTTCTCGTCATTCATTAATTAATGTCTCGTTTTTATTATTGTATTATAAATATGCTGTATGTCTGATATCTTAGATTTTAATGAATTTCCATTAGGACAGTTTGTAGAGAAACTCATGACTAGCTTTGATTAAAAGTGTTCTGATTTCATGGACCAAATTGATATTCAGTGATTTGATACCGAGTCTTTTTTCTATATATGTCTGACGCAATTATCATCACACTTCTTTTAGTCATAGTCAGATATTTTCAAATTGCAGATTATGAATCTCAGTCGTTCTAAGTTCTCAAAGATTGTGCTAAATCTCAAACTGTTTTACTGATAGTTCTATCACTGACGAACGTAGCCAATGGGGTTTTTGTGAAATTTCAAGATCTATTGTTAATCGTTCTATCAACGCACATTTGGGAAATGGATAAGCACAGTACTCACTGTGTGATACACCACAGTTCTAAGCTATGGACACATTAATAGTGAGCTTTTTTTTCAAATGATCACGGAATATATAGAAGAGGATGGACGTTATGAATGTAGCTCATCAACAGTATTTGTATTCTGACCAGTCTATCATTTCATGAGGAAATCCTGCAATGACGTTAGTTCATTCACAAGAAGTTACCATTTATTATTTGTATACTAACAGCCTAAATACGGTTCAAATTTCACCAATCTCTTGTCCTCGTTTTATTAACACTTCTATGATTATTGTCGAAGTTGAATCACAATTACACATTGTGATTTCTTACTACAAACATACCATTTTTATCATTATTGTTATTCTACCTATCTAGTTCGTTCAAGGAATAAAGAGAAAATTTTCGCCGAAGGGGACTTGGGTTAAGCCACTAATGGGTCGTATTCTGAAGCCGATTTCTGGGAATGAACTACAGGTAAGTGATGTAAAAATCTATTTATATCTACTAAGCAGTAACCTTCAGTTAATGTTACCAATCAGTGTATGTTGTAATTCTATACGTATTATTTTATTACAAACTAGATTTTATTATCTTTTTTGTATTTTAACGGTGTATGCCGAAATCATTATTACTTTCAATTGTCTCTTTTTAATGTATTACATTGTACAACGTCGACTATATGGAAAACTGTGTTTAATAAATTAGTTAATAAAATCGTTAACAACCTTAACTTTGAACTTTTGTCTGTTCCTAGACAAAACGTTTTTCTATCAGTAACAGAAAATAAACATAGATGTTCAATAGTGTATTAACCACGATACATCAAATAAGTTAAAGTCTAAGAGAAATTGACAATTTCCCCAGTGTAAAGATCGTTTTTTTCTCTCTCGACTATTTGTAAAATAGTTTGTGAAAGAGGGACCTACCTAAAATAAGTTAGGCAACCTCATAAAGGTTAACAATTTAAAACTGGAATTAAGTTGATCAAATAGTGTATAGTCAGGGGAATCAATTAATACCTATATAAAGTCTGCTTAAAAACAATTTGATTGTTTTGTTTTTCATCCAGTTTTCATATTGTTACTGCCATCGTTTTAATTTTAAACTTGAGTGTAGATTAAATTAGTGAGATCAAGTACTATCAAATAATCCAATTAAAAGCAAAGCTTGTGGATCACAACAATGGGCTCTTAAATAGTAGGAAGTAGGTTCAAACCCTACCTTATTCTCTCTAGGTTGAGGTGCCAGGTAGTCCACATTATATTACATAGAACTATACTTGGTAAATTAGTTATTGGACGAACATTTATTGGGTTACTTTCAATCACATCTCAAAGACATGTTAGGATTTGTCTCTGTGTCACAGTTTTATCCATACCACCTTTGCTAAATGGATAGTGAAGTGTTGATCGACTGTCATTTTCGTTGCCGAATGTTATTCGTTTATAACTTTTCGTATTTTTTGTTCCCCATATACTGTAGAAATCCGTTTTTTAATTCATTGTTTACTATGTTTTATGAAGCCTGATGCTAAGCGTCCACGAAAATTCGTTTCAACTCGTTCTCCCACCGCTTTGACATCTGCCATTACTGTTTCATCCCCTATTATATCGAGTATATCGTTGACAGATACTAATAGTTCACTTGGAAATCCGGGATTTTCTTCATACACACTTAATAGATCTAAATCTTATTTTGTAATCCTGTAAATACTCCCAGTTCCCTGCCGATAGTTCGTCTGAGAGAACGACAGCGTAATCCACTGCATGAAGTAGTTTCCTCCAGTAATAGTAGCGTGAGTCTCCTAATTTTTATTTCTTTGGTACAATATAGCCCCATGAAGTCATCAGTATAAGTTTCTTGATAATTTGGTTAATTTTTTATGTGTTAATATTCTGTTGATTGTTCTGTATGCTTCATAGGCGATTAGCGTTTGTGTTATAGATGGACTTGTGGCCAGTAGCAAAATTCAACACGCGCACTTTGTTCTGCTTGAAACTCGTCAGCTGGATATACCTGCATTCTACCAGTGTTGGTGTTCAAATAATGATATTGATATCCTGTGGAATAAGTAACTCAGTGGATGATAACACTTTGGACGTTTGATGCTAAAGGTAATAGGTTTGAGTCCTGGCGTGTACATCAACATTTTCATGTACGTAAATCCAGCTAACGAGCTCCAAATAGGACTGAACGCACGTCCTGAATTTCATCGCTAGTCAGAAATTCACCTATTCTATAAATATTTGTGAAAGGTGGCTAGACGGAGGCAGTCCGCACATGATACTCTTACAACGACTGAACACTTGTTAATTAGTGTCTAAGTCTGACCTTAAATCACACTCGGTTAACTTTCTACAGAAGCATTAGCAGACCAAGTGTATATAAGTCAGACCAGAATAGAATATATGCAAATTTAAATATGAGTGTATATGTGAATTATTTATTGAGTATATCTACAACCAATAAAAGAATATATGAAAGGAGACACTGGATATGCACACATTCACGCGTATATTGGAATATACATAACTGATCAAATATCTGAGCTACAGGAAGCAATTACTAGAAATACAATTACATTTTTATCTGCCCATAGAAAGGTAGATTTTATGTTCATATAGTTGAAAAGAGTTTGCTATAATACATTTATGTCAACAAAATCTGATCAAGATTCAGTCAAGATTATCAACAATCGATTAATTTGAATCCTTCGTAGTAATTATACAAATAGCGTTTTTGTCAGACAGTGAGTTTAAAACTGTCTTAAGAGTGTACAAAGTAAAGTCTGTATTAATTCACTTGCTTATTTTTTATAGACGGGAGTGCATTTTCTCTAGTGTCTGGATTCCTTGTGTATTCAGTAATTTTAGCAATTAATCGTTTGTCCACAATTACTCTACTATCCAGAAACAATGAAATACTCTGAACAATTATTCCATCGTATTTCCTTTTTTTCATCAGATTTTCCTTAATTTATTTCGTTTTGAAACTGTAGATTTTAAAATCAACCTATTCCACTGAATCTCCGTCATGCTCTGTAACTAATAGTATAAACAAACAAAAACCACTGAGTAACTGTGAACAAAGGATTCTTAAAAGTGTAAGTTTTATTTTCAATGATTTTTTTTTCGTTTCACAGTATCCTTTTGTGTGATTGCCAACTCTTTAGTGAATTGTTATTAGCCATAAATATATTCTCTAACCCATGTATTTTTCTGTACTTCGTGGAAACTCATATTTAGTAACTCTGTTTCATACTATCATTTTGTTGATCTTTGTTTGCCTTAAATTATTCTCCATATCACTTGATGTTTAATGGGCTATGCTAGTATATAGCACACATCATTATGTAGTCTCCGTCGTTTAGGTTTCGTAAACTCAATAACTAATACCCTCTATTCGAATTTACACGTCTATTTGTATGAGCTTTTTTACTGTATTGTATATTGGGTCGATAGAAATATTGTCTCATTCATACGTCCCACAACGAGAACGGTTGATATGCTTCTGGTATGGATAAAGTGGGGAAGTTTTTAGATTGAGATTTACACTTATATTTTATATTAGATTGTAAAATAGCTCGCGTAATTGGACTAGGTGGTTGCTATAATGACAGGATTACACCGTCCAAAAGTGTAGTTCTGTACGTTTGGAAACGTTGTAGAATTTAGAAAATTCTATGTCAGAAAAATGTCTTCTGATTTATGATTTTCGATGTATGTCAGTTACTAGTTTAAGCTTTATTGTTGTTGTCTTAAATATAGACAGTTCATCTCTTTGAATGGAAGCTAAGCAGAGCTTTGTTTTATCCTGGCTTACTTCTTTTAAATATCATCTTTTACGTATTTTTGATGCTAAGCAGTAGTATAATTTTCACCTTGTTGTCAGTACTTGTATTGATAGCTTTTATGATAAAGGTTATGTACTATTCTTTACGTGTGAACTTCGATTACTTCATATCATGCAAACTCCAGTAAAATAATTGTTATTAAAGAGCTTATAGGTTATTTTCTGTACTTAGGCAGTTAGTTTAACAGTTAAAGAAGTTATTGACTTAATGTTTTTGTCAATTTATTGTTAATTAATAGACAAAATTATTATTATCTGATTGTATCAAGTTACCTTAGCTTACAGAATTACGTAAACAGTGTTTTTATCACACCTACCAATAATATACTTATCAATTTGTGTCGATACACTGATATGTATCACTAGTTTATCAGTTTCATTTAGGATTTATGCATTTCACCTCCATATTTACCTTCAAATTGTATTCTTCAGTTAATATTTGATATGAAACGTTTTTATATTGAATTTGTGTCAAATTGAAAATATGATGACGTTCAACAATGCACCATTTCTTATATTTTCATTCTATAGTACATTGATTCAATTAATGAAATTCGCCGAATTCCAGTGAACGAAGACAATTTTTCAGAATTAAGGAAATGTTTCAACTTGTAAAAAAAATTATTTTATTTTATATCCCAATTGATATTCTGTATATTTCCTATTTATTATCTCTTCTTTTGAAAAGACTATTTTTCTACCAGACATAAATATAAATGATAACAGTAATGATTACTAAAGTAATTATCATTGCTCAGACGTTTACTTGTGGTCTTTTGTATTACAAAACTAGTATATGTATGATTGGGGAATGGTGGTAGTGTTCAGACTATCTTTCGTATCTTCTCGTTGTTTTTATGGTAATACATGGAATCCTCAACACATATGGTCACAGATTTATCAGTGTTAATTCTCCGATGGTGATTGAGTTCAACTAGTTACATTGTTAGTGCGAACGTGGAAGCTACTTTTCTGGTCAAAAAGCATAAATTACATCAATTCGGCTGTTGAATTAAACGCAGGACTACCAGAGTAGGATCATGTAAATACATAAGATTTTCAAATACAGCAGTATGGTTTCAATTTTCGAATGAGTAAGGCTTAAAGAAGTGTAGATATTGACCTCTTACCATTTTTATACAACACTACAAGACTGAATCAATTATATGACCTGTTTCAACCCGATAGTTTGTAGTGGCGATTTGTAAGTATAAGTCATCGATTATTTCTAGAATATTGGAATTTATTCGTTCTTACAGTTATTCTTGTACAAACGTAGCCAACTTTACTCCTTCCTGATCTCAATCTATTCATGTAACAATGAGTGTGATGCGAATAATTATATACTGTTTAAGATCTTGTTGAGAAATGGATTTTGTTTTGTTAATATTAGTGGGAATCTAGTTGGAATGACAAAACTATTTGTGGGAAAAATTCCTTTCACTGTATGAAAATAAAGTATTTTATGAGTATTCTCTATTTTTATATTTGATTTTTCATTAAACATTCCATAAATCTGTCACAAACAAAATAATCAGTAGTGTTTATCAAATTGATAGGAAACGTTTCTAGTTCATGTGAATAATTTCTGTAGCTTTTCGTTCTCTTAAAGGCAAAGTTTAATTGCAAAGTTTAGTTGCTGTTTTTTGGACATCATTAGTATAATCTTCAAGTAGAAATGTGACGTTTTAATTACTTCACCGATACTAGGTAAATACGTACATCGGAAAGTATTATTGAGTGAACCATCGTATGGTGAATTTTAAAAGGATTGAGTGTTAAAATAAACGTAAATGCCTTTGATATGGGATATAGTTGACGTTTTCGTCTTTCTATTAACCCCAATCGGTTTAAATGATTTTTTCTAATTAGCGTTATTCCGGCAAGGCTTTTTCCACGAAGTGAGGTTGCTAATCTCGTGCTCAACCCTCCTCCGTTATCTGAGGTTTCATTTTTCAATAATGAATACAAATTAATTTGTAAACATAACAATCCGCCTATCCGGAGTCGTTGATTCTTGGGCGATTAATATTGTCTACTCATTAGTAGGCAAAATATGGAGGGAGAAATAATTTCAAGAAAGACATCATAGAATCTTATTTTCCAATACATGTATATTTATTCTCTGTCAATGGATGTTTGGTCAGCTTTGCCTATCTGTCAGGTAAAATTCCATCGATGCTTTTATGCATTCCATATAGCAGTCATATCCATTGAAATTCTTAGCCTTTTGTTTTTTAATAGTCCACCTCATTTAAACAAAGTAGGATCAATAGTCCATTGGAATAATGTTCTAAACAAATAAAAAACTGTGAATAACATCGGTATGACATACATCTGAAGTCTGTTATATTTTTTTCATTTACGGAACAAACAAAAATTATATATATATATATTTGAAAGTAATAACCTATTTGTTTTAATTAAATGGAAACTTTGAATGCCATGCATTTATAATTACGAATAGAATAATAATTGGAGGTTTGGACAAGGTTTTACTATTTAAGTAAACCCTAGTTATAAATTTAGCTTTCCCAACGTATGTGTTTTGTATTGGTAATGAGTGGGAATTCAATATTTCAAGTTGATTATTAAATACGGTATTTCTGTTTTGCAAATATACACTATGACACTTAATATTACAATCTAACCTAGTTCAGGTGGATTTTTCTGTTACAGTACAACAAAAAGTTGTCAAAATGGGAGCATAGACTTCATGCCTTGTGTGAAAGCTGTGTTGATGATATTAATTGGAAGAGATTTGAAAGCGAACTTTATTTAATTCAGTTAATTAAAATATACCTTACTCCCACGTAATGAATACGATTGTCATTGTATGCAATACAATCATTTCCAACAGTTTTATCAATTTCTTGACAATTCATTTGCGTCTGGATAATTTACTGTTAATTAGTTGGGAGAATTGTTTTTCTATGCACCTTGAAGTGAGTGAAGTATGAGGATTTCAATAGCGTTACGTTGAACATGTTGTAGCGAATGAATACTGAGTTGGCAAAACCGATTTATTGTTTTAAGCATAATCAAACAGTGGTTTCGTAAGTTATATACATTAAATACATCATTTGCATATCTTCCTTCAGTTATCTTTTATATAATTCATCACTCTTCTTATCCTGTTGTTCTTCCGATTGCTCTTCGTTTTGCCTCCTCTTTTTAACTTTCTTCTGCTGGTCAGCATTCTATTTTCATTCCTTACTACATACTACTTTCGTCTGTTTTCATAAGTAGTGCAGAACACAATATGTTTGAATTACAGTAAGCTGTTACATTACATAATGAGTGGGCGACATATAGCGAGGTTGAAATAAAGTGACCATGTGTACTGAGAAACTTATAACCGGATATATTTTGGACATGTTCTGTAAGCCTATTTAAGATAGTAAGAAGGTGCAAAACTCTGTTTTTGGTAATTAGCATAAAGGGACTTGGGCATTTATATTATCCTGACTTTCTGCAAGAGAATTGATTCAACACTAGGCTATTTGACATTGATATGAAACATATTTCTATACTTCTAAATCACTGGCTCGAAAAGAAATTCAGACAGTGATAATGAATCTAAAAACTTGTGTGAAAATCAGCAATAATTCGCGTAATTATTTAAACGAAATAACATAGATATTAGGCATTCCGATCTCGAAAATTCTGAAAATTCATTAGTTCAGTCAGTCATAAGCAGCATAGAAATTGGGACATATAAGTACTAGTTCAAAAGTTTAAACTATGATAAGACACCGAGTAAATGGTTTTTAAAACGTTGATGAATAATTTAAACCTACAATGTACGGTTAAAATAAATATGAAGTGAAGGTAATATGTTGTTTAAAATAAGAAATAACACGTCCATTATTGACTAGAGATAAAAGCCATTTGTTGCATAAAATTAACTATTTGCAATGACTAAACCTCCAAATTATATTGGAAGTGAATGTTTCTAAAATTTCTTTTTTCAACCCATTATTCTTCTAATGGTCATATATGTTTTGTGAAGAATCACATCAATTTTTCATTCATTTTATTGAAATAATCATAACTATAGGCAGTACTGTACAAGAGAAAGATAATTGTTTTTCACTGAAACTATGAGACGATCAGTGTTACACCACCATCGAAAACGACTGAATTCAGGACCTTTAATCTCGCGCACTAACACTTATTCTCTAGACCACTAAGCTGGTATCCAACGATGGTACTGTCTAACCTCAACCAATCCACGATATTGTGCGACCATCTTCCATTGTCTTTAGTGGGCATCTGCCTCACCCCCGATATTGATGAGCTCCATTGGTCACGGCTTCTCACTAGAACTCTGAAAATCTCCTCTCGAATCCTGTCATTAGTGTATACATGATAATTTTCCGTACGGAGCCGTGAGAACTGTTGAGTTTTATTGAAATTTTAAATATATTTAATCCTAGAAGCTCCACATTAGCATTAAACAACTCTCCGGTGCTTCCACGTTTTCAATAGTGGTCTAACTTATATCAGTTCATAATATAAATGAAATTCAGCAAGCTCCACAACCCTGCACTTATAACTTTTTTATTGAAATGAAATGCTTTATTTACCTATTATTTAGTCAATGTGTGTAATCTTCGGAAACAGTCGAAATATTACATTGTCTTCTCACTACTTTTTTATCCTTACATCATCTGTTCATTATATCCAAGTTTTTTATGGTTCCACAAAATGCTTTCTTTAAACAGCAATGACACTAGTAGTAGTGATTATGTGTGTTTTTATATAATGGGAATTTTTCATCGATTATGATTATACTTGTAAAAAAACAACTACATAACATTTATTGCATTACTTGTAATTATATAGATTAATATATTATGGCTGAACAGAACGAAAAGCAAACAATTTAATTCTATCATTTTTCTGAACAGGAATTCTTTAGCTTGATTGGTTTGTTTCAGAATTGTTTTAAGTTTCTTAAATTCGACCATTTTGAGTTCATTTGTTTGCAAATCAGTATACTAATTGGTAGCGTGCTTTAAAAAATCAGTTTAATGCACGATTTAATTGATTGAAACCATTGGGATTTTAAATGGCAGTAGGTAAATGCCTAGGAATTAACGCTTCCAGTATGAATAAGTTTCCTTTGCAAATTGTTATCAGTTTACGAATCATTGGATATCTTGGAGCACGAGACAGGTGTTTTCTTCTTAGTTGGAACTTATCGACAATGCTTTGCTATGAATATAGATTGTATCGAACATATGACCTTCGTTTCTCTCTATAAGCATAATATCTTTAGACAACGGGTTCTAAAACCTTACGGTAAGGATGGCAAATCAGTTGATAAAGTAGTGAAAATTCATCAGTTGAGATGGCTGGGACACGTGTTACGTATGCCCAACGACCGACTGCCTCGACGTGCGATGTTCAGTGGTGTAGGAGTAAGTTGGAAGAAAGCTAGGGGCGGCCAGATCAAAACATGGCACAAGTCCATGAAGTCACTGACAAGTGAACTGAGTCATGTCGGTAGGTGTAGACTACCTGGTTGGGGACTGCGAGATGATAGCAACCGATGGTTATAGACCCTGAATGACATGGCTCAAAATCGTTTGCAATGGCGCAGGTGCATA